TCTATCAGACCAATGCTCACTTTATTAACACCTTCTTTTAAAAATGACTTTCAAAATTCTTGCTATCTCTTTATACTTCTCGTCAGATTTTTCTTTATACTCTCCTCCATTAATGTTTTAGACAGTCTTGGTTTTCTTTTAACATTCTGCCCAATCTTCTGACCTGCAGCCTATCTTTGTATAATTCTGTGCTTTTGCTTTACATTTGATGGTATTTTTACCATTCCTTAGTTAATAATGAAGGATTGGTACCTAAGAAGCAATCAAGTGGGTTGACTTTCAGCCTGGGTTTTCCTCCTCTTTGAGCTTGTTTTGTGAATAGGCATTTAGAGAGGGAAATGGAGGACACTCCCTCACCCACCACCTCCCAATCACTCCCTCCCTTTCTTTTTCTTTCCCTCTCACCCATGTTCCCTCCAATACTCCCCTCCATCATTCAGCCCTCCCTTCCCTTATCAACCCTATTCTTTCTCTCTCTCCCATCCATTTCACTCCCCTCACTCTCTTCATTTCTTCCTCCCCTCAGCTACTATCTCATCTCTCCTACCCCTTCCGCCATCACTCCATCCCTACCTTATCCCTCATCCTTATCCCTCCATCACTACACCCCTCAATCCTTCTCTCCCTCACTACCCACGTTCTTTCCTTTACTCCCCAACACCAACCAGCCCTCATTTCTTCCTGCCCTTCTCTCCCCTCGCTCACCTTTCAGTACCCTCACCATTTGCCTTTCCCTTGTCTACTCCTTACGCATTCTGTCCCCTCTCTAGCCCTCATTGTCTCCATCTCCTCCTTTACCCTTCATCCACTCTTTCCCCATTCCACCTTCTCATCCACTCTACTTTCCCTCCCTCTCCCTACTCCCTCACCCTCTTGCCCCCTCCCTTCCTTCCCTCCTCCTTATCCCCTTCCCTCATCACACTCTTCCCTCTCCTGCCCATTAGCAGCTTCCTTCCTCATCTACCTATCCCTCACAATCTCACTTCTAAATCCTCCCCTACCCCCCCTCAATTACCTTTCCCCTTCTCCGCTCTCACACCCCTTCCCAACACTCCTGTGCTCATTCTCTCTCCCCCTCAGGCCCTCCTTCCTTCCTTTCTTCCCTCATCCCATCATCACCTTCCCTCCCTCTCCCTATCCCACACTACCCCTCCCATTCCCATGTGCCCACCTCCTCCCCTTCCTCATCCATTCCCTCTCCGCTGAGGATAGTGCATTCCTCACCCGTTCCTTCATCTTTTCCCTCCCTTTCGAGATGGAAAACAATCACATCAAGAACAATGTCAATAAATCTTTTCAAAGTGACGCTCTGTTGACATAATTAAGTTTGGTAACAATAGTCATAGGACTTTGTTTTCAATTCTTCGATGACTCCTATATTTCCTTTCCCTAATGTAGAGAATTTTTTTTTAAAATGTGGTTTTCTTTGACTTGCTATAGTGCAGTAAGTGGAATTCTCAGACTCCTAAGCCAACTATTTCAACAAAAGTACCTGACTTGCCAAGGGGAAGTTTTAAGATTTTGTTGAGTCATGGTGAATGGAAAATGATGTAAATCCCACAACAAGGAGTATTAAACATCATTGGCTTGCAAAAGAATTCCAAAATGTTAAAAAATCTCCTTGAATAGAATATTTCATTTTGCTGCCATTGTTATCAAAAGTTGTTCACTTGTGAGACAAATGGGAAATCTATCTACTGTGCATAAATAAAGAATAACTTATAGACCTAAAGACAATTTGTTTGATTATACTGCACTGATTATTTCACACATTTTAAAGCTATGTATACATTTTCAGATCATGAGTCTTTTTTTCCACTGCAAGGGTATTTATTTCGGAGGTGCCAAACTGGCATCAGGAGCAGGAGGATCAGGTCCAGATGAACAGCACTTAGTTGCATTTTCGAATTAAGTTAATACTTTGCTGTCTGCCCCACAATTACAATTCAACTGTTTTGAGACAACTAACAACAGCATTCACACTCTCAAAAAATAATCAATGCTGGACATTTAATTTCTCTACTGACTATGGTCTTGTAACTAAAGAAGCTGTAGCTAGGTACCTTTGTAACTAAGTCAGCACTGTAAGTGGCAATGTATAAACCTTTTGCTATGCTCATTAAGTATATGTGACAGTAAAGATTAATTCTAATTCTAATCAACCTCAATTAACTTTCAAAAGTTCTCTGCACAATCCTAAGTACTTTTAAAGCTAAAAATGACAGTGTACGTGTTACTCTATGTGGTGTCAAATGCAAGAGCAAGAAACTCCTTCAGGTGGTCTCATATTGCTGTTGGGACATGTTCTAATTAATGTTATAATGTAATGGAAGACTGCAAATCAATATAGTGAATAGACATATAGTAAGCAAGTAACATCTAGCAATCTATCCAATGCCCTTATTTTTAAAGTAGTAATACATCACAACACAAATTATACTTGGGCAAACTATATATAATTGAAAGCATTTAAAAGTTCTATTTCACAGACAAACCTTGTTCAGGAAGTGATCTTCTTCCTCTAAGTTTTATTTTTTCTTCTTGCCATTTCTCCCTTCGATGCAGTTTTTTCTCATGGAGCTCATTAATCTGATTTTTAAAACAAGTTATTCAGACAAAAACAAGTTCAGCACTCTGAAACTGTTGTAATTTACTGTAAGCAACAGCCATTCTAATGGATTTAATTACAGTAAGAGTACCTGATTTATTGAAGTGCTCCAGTTGGTTGACAGGCCCTTGGTCACCGTTAATGTTTCCAAGTGATCTAGTTGAAACTTGTACGTTGCCAATTCCTGTCTCAAGGATGAGATTTCTTCTTTCAGCACAATAACATGATGTAGACTAACTGCTGCTATGTAAGCTGACAGAACAGCTGCCAAAGTGAGGATGAAGGCACAGTAAACAAAACATCTGACTTGTGCATTTAAACCCTCTCGTAGTTGCAACATTCTCAACATTACTCTAAATTTCACTTTCAACCTATAATGGTGCAATAACCCAATCACAAGAAGATGGTTAATTTGTACTGTTTTTCCTGTTTGCATGAGCTGCACCTTCTGATCTTTTTCCCTCCAACTATAACAGAATGTGATGAGCAAATGGCACTTCATACTTGAACTAAAAATAAATGTTGTGCTAGCATAATTGGTCACTGTGTCGAGAAACTCACTTCTAATGAGTAAAACTCCACCTCCTTTGAAGGACTCCGCCCCTTCAAATAAAAACATAACTAAGATATATATCACTAGAAGAAAATTCCCTGGCTACCATAAGAATCATAGAATCCCTACAGTGTGGAAACAGGCCCTTCGGCCCAACAATTCCACACCGAACCTCAGAGCATCCCACCCAGACCTGTTCCCTTGTAACCCACCTAATCTAGGCATCCCTGAACACTATGGGCAATTTAGCATGGCCAATCCACCTAACATGCACATCTTTGGACTGTGGGAGGAAACCCACGCAGACATGGGGAGAATGTGCAGACTCCACACTGACAGTCGCCCGAGGCTAGAATCGAACGAGGGTCCCTGGTGCTGTGAGGCAGCAGTGCTAACTACTGAGCCTCCATGCCGCCTCTGAGTCCTTCTCATGCAGGTTCAAAACCATTTTTTTTAAAGTAAACTAACCTCTCTTGAAAAAAGTGATAGCCCATTTCCCTTCATTATCTCAGTATGTCTTAGCAGAGAGCTTTTACCTTTCTTTTTGATGATCTTCAGTCTGAAAGGAAAGTATTGGAGGTGGGTTACTAACAAATTGTTTATCAAGACATTGGTTAGGCCACTTTTCGAATATTGCATTCAATTCTGGTCTCCTTCCTATAGGAAAGATTTTGTGAAACTTGAAAGGGTTCATAAAAAAATTACAAGGATATTGCCAGGGTTGGAGGCTTTGAGCTTTTGGGAGAGGCTGAATAGACTGGGGCTATTTTCCCTGGAGCATCGTAGGCTGAGGGATGACCTTACAGAAGTTTATAAAATCATGAGAGACATGGATAGGCTGAATAGCCAAGGTCTTTTCCACAGGGCAAGGGAGACCAAAACTAGAGGTCATAGGTTTAAGGTGAGAAGGGAAAAAATTAAAGGGCCCTAAGGGCCAATGTTTTCACACAGAGTGTGGTGCATGTACGGAATCAGCTGCCTGAGGTGGTGGTGGAAGCTGGTACAATTGCAATATTTAAAAGGCATCAGCAATGGTATATCAATAGGAAGAGTTTAAGAGGGATATGGGCCAAATGCTGGCAAACCGGACGAGATTAATTTAGAATATCTGGTTGACATGGACAAGTTGGACTGAATGGTCTGTTTCCGTGTTCGACATCTCGATGGGTCTAAGTGATACTCCATTCTCTTCTACTTCAGTTTAAACATTGAGTTTACTCTTATCATTGTTATATAATATTCAATTATCTGGATACACAAAATGGACATCTTTGACTGAATTCTCCATGAAGAAATGTGGCAAAGTAGTTACTGTTTGTCAAAAGTGACCCATAGGAGTACAGGATTTTGATGTTCTCTGAACCCAGCACCAACACCCAGATGTTTCCATGCTAGAAATGCTAGCTTAAAATGAAAAAAAAACCTGGAAATTCTTAGCAGCTCTGACAGTGTCTGTGGAGATACAGAGTTAACATTTCCAGTCTGTGGTTTTTCAGAGAAAAGTGTTAGTTCATGTTATTTCCACAGGCTATGCCATGCCCAAATGTCAGTGTGTTGTTATATTGACATGCCTTGTTCTGGACTTTTTTTGAGACAGTGCAAGTGGCTGACTTGAAATGAGGAAGAAGCTTTTTACATTTAGTCTAGGTGATCAAAAAAAAATTCAGTACAAAGTTTGGTTTATGGAAGAACAGCTTTTACAATTGTGGACAACCTACCATACCTTGCAATTCTATCAGACTGCTATGCCTTAAAGTTAATTTTAATTGAATGGCTGCTTGAATAATCTGCACAAAGAAATGAAATTATGGGAGGTCAGCAACATAGTTGTTTGTATCTAGCAGTGATCACAATAACATTGAGGCATTGGGGACAGCAATACAATAGTTACCAAGCTCTAATTTGATGTCCAAAGGATTGACATTCTTTCTTTGTGTCAGTTTTGTGCTTTGCAAAACTTAATTTTGCTTTTGGAAAGCAGGGTTTATAAGCAGGTAATTTCTAGGCTAATTTCCATTCTATTTGCTTGTCTTATTAAACTATTGATCCTAGTAAGTTTGTGGAGAAAGGGTTATTCTGGACCATTTACTTTCAGAGATGTTTTGGTCAAGCCCTAGTTCTTTTACTTTGTACTTCAGGTTATTTGGAAAGTATGTGGCTTTACCAGTCGTTGACAATTAACTAAAAAAGGTTAAAGATTGCATCAAACTTAAAGAAAATCATGACATTGCACAAAGAGAGGAGGTAGGTCGGAAGAGTACAGAGCATATAATAAACAAAGAATGACTGAAAATTTAATGATGGAAAAATTGGAGTATGATAAAGCTAGCCATAAATATAAAAACAGGTAGTAAAAGTTTCTTTTTTTTTTATAGAGAGAGTTGACGCTTTGGTCCAACAGAAAATGAATCTGGAGAATTGGTAATGGAAAATTAAAAAGAGATGGCAGATGAATTGAATAGGTATTTTGCATAAGTATTCACTATAAGAAGATACAAATAACATCACAAAGCAGCTATAAATAGAAGCAATGAAGGAACTCAGAAAAAATATACAGTTACCAGAGAAGCGATATTGAGTGAATTTGGGGAGCTGTGGACTAATATACATCCTGGCCCTGATGTATTACACCCTAGGGTCTTAAAAGAAGCGGCAAAAGATGCATTGTTTCAATTTTTCAAAATTCCCTTGATTCAGAAATGGTTTCATTAGATTGGAAGATAGCAAATGTAACTACTTTATTAAAAAAAAGGAGACAAAGAGCAGGAAACTCATAGAATCCTTAATGTGGAAGTAGGCCATTTAGCCCATTGAGTCCATACTGATACTCTGAACAGCATCCCACCCAGACCTACACCATTCCTCTAACACTGCGCTTCCCATGGCTAATCCACCTGGCTTGCACATTCCTGGGCACTATGGACAACTTAGCACGGCCAATCCACCGAATCTGCACATCTTTAGACAATGGGAGGAAACTGGAACACCCACAGGAAACCCCAGCAGACATGGAGAGAACGTGCAAACTCCACGTAGTCAGTCACCTGAGGGTGGAATCAAACTTAGGTCTCTGTCGCTATGAGGTAGCAGTGCTAACCACTAAGCCACCGTGCCACCCCTACAGGCCAACTAGTTTCAAATCTGTCATTAGTGAAAGGGAAATAATGTTGAAACAATCTATTGAAGCTGTTTGAGCCAGTGATGCATGCTTTGAATGAAATAAAACCAGATGATGTATTGCACTTGGATTCCCAGAAAGGATTTATAAAGTGCCATATGAAAAATATTGAGAAAATAAATATGGTACAGGGGGTGAACGTATTTCCACAGATAGAAAATTGCTTCCTGTTAAGTCAGCCAAAAATAAGTCAGAGACAACACAGTGTGGAGCTGGAGGAACACAGCAGGCCAGGCAGCATCAAAGGAGCAGGGAAGTTGACATTTCGGTTGGGACCCTACTTCAGAAATGGGGAGGGGGATGGGAGCTGGGAAATAAAGGGAGAGGAGGGGTGGGGATGCGAAAAGGTAGGTGGGATTTTGATAGGTAAATACAGGTAGGGAGTGGTGGGGATTGGTCAGTGGGATAGGTGGAGCAAATAGGTGGGAGAGAAGATGGACAGGTTGTGTTGGGTCAAGGAGCCAACCATTTTAACTCCCCCTTCCACTCCCTGGATGACCTGTCCATCCTGGACCTCCACCAGTGCCACAATGATACCACACGCAAACTGGTATGCGTGTGGTATGAGGAGCCTACAACCCAATGGCCTTAACATAGAATTCACCAGTTTTAAAATCTCCCCACCCCCGGCCTCATCCCACATCTAAACATCCCTTTCATCCCCGCCTCCTTGACCTCACACAACCTGTCCGTCTTCTTCCCTACCTATCGGCCCTACCCTTCCCACTGACCAATCCTCACTACCCCTTACCTGCATTCACTTATCACACCCCCCTATCTTTCCCCAGCCCCACCCATCCTCCGTCCTGTCTCCTTGATCTGACACAACCTGTCCATGTTCTCTCCCACCTAACCACTCCACCCATCCCCATGACCAATCCCCACCACTGCCTACCTGCACTCACCTATCACCATCCCAACTACCTTTCCCCAGCCCCATCCCTCCTCTATTTATTTCCCAGCTCCCTTTCCCCTCCCCATTTCTGAAGAAGGGTTCCAACTAGTTATCAAGATGTAACAAGTAATAGGAGGCTACAACTGTTTTCAATTTATATAAATGACGTGAATGAAATGATTAAAGATGGTTGCCAATTTTATTAATGACACAAAGATTAGTAGGAAAATAAGTTGTGAAGTATACATAATGAGTCTAAAGGTCATATAAGATAGATCAAGTGAGTGGGCAAAGATTTGGAAAATGGAATATACTGTGGGAAAATGTGAAACAATCCACTTTGGCAGGAAGAATAAAAATGCATAAGATTGAAATAGTGAGATAGTGCAGAGCTCTGAGATAGAGGGATTTGTGCACCATCATGCAAGTAATTAGGAAATCACATACAATATTATCATTTATTGCAAGGGAATCAAATATCATTAAGATCACAACATGTAGGTGCAGAGGCAAGCCATTTGGCCCATCAAGTCTGCTCCACCATTCAATGCGAGCATGGCTGATCTGATAATCCTCAATCTCACTTTCCTGTCTTTTTTGAATAATCCTTGATTGATAGATTTTTAATCAGTCATCTCAACCTTGAATATATTTAACAACACTGCCTAATGAGAAAGGGCGAAGGCAATGGCTTATTGATATTATCACTGGGGTATTAATCCAGAGACCCATGTAATGTTCTGGGGACCTGGGTTGGATCCAAATGCAGGAGTTGACATGGAAACTTGAAAAAAAATCTGGAATTAAGAGTCTAATGCTGACCATGAATCCATTATTGATTGTCAGGGGAAAAAACCGGCACCTATGGAACCTGGTTCCTAATGCCCTTTAGAGTAAGAAACTGCCACCCTTATCCAGTCAGGCCTACACATGACTCCAAAATCACAGCAATGTAGTTGAGTCGTAATTGCCATCAAGGCCATTAGATGCTAGCATGGCTAGCGACACACTCATCCTGTCAATGAATAAAAAAGAAAAGAAATTCCTCATCTCTGACCTAACTGTGTGGCCCTTTACTCTGAGATTATGCCCTCTGGACCTATACACCCTCCCACATCAATCCTTAAATATATGTAAAAAAAATTACACTTCATCTGTACAGGGCACTGGGGAGACCAGATCTAATGACTGCATAATACTGATCACCTCTTTTAAGGAAATATGTAAATACATTGGAGGAAGTTCAGAGAGGTTTATCAGGATAATACTTGGAAGGAACAAGCTATCTTAAGCAAAAGGTTGATTCGGCCAGGTTTGTATCCACTGGAATTTAGTAGAGTAAGAGGCATGTTAATTGAACCGAATGTTTGTGAGGGGTCTTGGGGGGCAGTTTAAAAACACAGGTTCACCCACTTAAAACAAGAGGAAAGGTTATTTTATGTTCCGCAAGTGGTTGTGAATTGGAACGGTTCCTCAAAAGGTAGTTGGAATAAGAGTCATTGAGTATTTTTAAGGCAGAGATATTTTCTAAGCAGCCTGTTCAAAGATGTTATTACAAACCTCTGAAGATGGTAGGACTTGAACCCTAGCCTCTTGGATCTTAAGTAGAGATATTATCATTACAATAAAAGATTACACAGGATTTTGCAGTCAGTCAGATAAGACACAATCTTATGAAATGGCACAGCAAGCCTTGAGCATGTGAGAAGGCCTGCTTTTGCTCCTTCTGTGTAACGTTGCTACATGATTATGACTCCCCCACCCACTAACTTTGAGAATCATAATTTTGGCACTTCCCATACTCATGCTAAAAACATTTGTGCTCTTATTGAAGGTGAACATATGCAATTATTTGCAGAAATACAGCTGCTGAGCGAAATTATACAATGGGAAAAGGAAACGGCATGCATGCCATTTCAATACCATTTCCTTGAATATTCTGATACCAGGCAGCAGCCATGTACCCAAATCATGGGAAAATTTATTATGTAACCACTTTCATATCACTTGTTCAATGGCATTTCTCTAACATTAGTATTCAGTGTTCCTGGTGGGGAAGGATGGAACTTTAATGGGCCAGAAACATACACAGAAACAATTCACCTTGGTTCTGCATGATATGAATTAAGGTGAGCAAGCTTTCGGCGAGGTAAGAACGTGTGGAATCTGATAAAGTGATGCAAGGAAATTACTTGTGAATTAGCGATGTTGGACGGACAGAAGTTGCAGCAGCCCAGAACCCAAAAAAAAAGAAACTCGGCCCCAGGTATCTGCTTGGAGCAAAGAATTAAATCCAATCAGAGCATGAGGAAAGATAGAGATTCTAATGGAGCTTATTTTAAAAGTCTATTATTGCCATTGTTCTTACCACTTGAAATCAATGGATTATGGGGCATTATTACACCATAAATCTTGATTGATACACTAATTCTTAGTCTGAGTAAAAGGCAAATACAAAAATGTGTCAAAGTCTTAACTATTCAATCGTCACTTGGGATTAACTTCCAAGTAAAACTTAGCAGGGAATTGAAAATTGACACCGTGCTGCATTGTTTTGTTATTTGTTTTAATCCCAAAAGGGGGCGAGATAACTTCAATCGCAGATGAGTTGTGTTGCCTTGTGAAAATCTTATTTTTACCAGCTCCAATTTTGCATGGTAAGATCCTGCTTGGAAACGGCAGACTCTTCACTATGCATTTCATGGTCACGCTGACATGATTCCAATTCCAAGGACAAAGTCAGTAAACTACAGCAATAATAAAAAAAAATCACCACCTAATTTTGGGACTTTTATTTCCTCCAATCAGATAACTATTTTCATCGTTGCTTCCTGCAGCTGTTCATGAATCCATTAAAATTATTAGGCCATAGGATATAGGAGAATTAGGCCATTTGGACCATCGAGTCTGCTCTACCATTCAAATATGCTGTTGTGTTTCTCAACCCCATTCTCCTGCCGATCCTTTTACCAATCAAGAACCTATCTATCTATCTCGGTCTTAAAGATACTCAATAACTTGGCCTCCATAGGCTGCTGCAGCAAGGAGTTCTATAGGTTTATCACACTCTTGCTGAAGAAATTCCACCTCATCTCAGTTCCAAAGGGTCATTCCTTCACTCAGACTGTGCCTTTGGGACTTAGTCTCTCATACTAGTGGAAACATTTTCTCCACGTCCACTCTATCCAGGCCTCTTAATATTCTGCAAGTTTCAATCAGAAACACCACCACCACCCCCCCATCCCATCTCCCTCCATCCTTCTAAACCTCACTGATGACATACCCAGAGTTCTCAATCCCTCCTTGTATGACAAGCTCTTCATCCCCAGGATCATTCTTCTAAATATACTCTGGATCCTCTCCAAGGCCAGCACATTCTTCCTTAGATACTGGGCCTAAAACCGCTCATAATATTCCAAATGCAGTCTGACCAGAACCTTATACAGCTTCAGCAGTATATCTCTGGTCTTGTATTCTAGCCCTCTTCAAATGAATGTTAACATTGCATTGGCCTTCTCAACTGCAACAGAATTTTAAGAGAATCCTGAACTCGGACTCCCAAGTCCCTTTGTACTTCAGATTTCTGAAGCCTTTCCCCCTTTAGGAAATAGTCGTGCCTTTATTCTTCCTTTCAAAGAGCATAAGCTCACAATTTCCCACATTGTATTCCATCTGCCACTTCATTGCCCACTCTCCTAGCCTGTCCCAAGGCCTCCTGTAGCCTCCCAGCTTCCTCAATGCTACCTGCTCCTCCATCTATCTTTGTGTTGTCTGCAAACTTAGCAACAATACCATCAGTTCCTTCATCTAGATTGTTAAGGTATAAAGTGAATAGTTGCGGTCCCAACATGGACACCTGCAGAACTCCACTAGTCACCAGGTGCCATCCTGAAAAAGACTGCTTTCTTCCAGCCAGCCAATCCTCTGTCTATGCCAGCATCTTGTCCTACAACATAGGCTCTAATCTTATTTAACAGCCTCCCATGCAGCACCTTGTCAATAAACTTCTGTAAATGCAAACAGATTGCGTGCAGTGGCTCTCCTTTGTCTAACTTGCCTGTTATCTCCTCAAAGAATTCTGACAGATTTGTCAGGCATGACCTTCCCTTGACTCAGCCCTATTTTATCACGCACTTCCAACCATTCTGTAATCTCAGCCAACAAGATCTTACCAACAACCGAGGTCAGGCTAACCGAGCTACAGTTTCCTGTCTTTTGCCTCCCTCCCCTTAAAAACAGGGGTGTTACATTAGCCATTTCCAGACCTCTGGTACATTTCTGTCTCCTGTGATTGCCGAAAGATCACCACCAATGCCACTCCAATCTCATCAGCTCTGTCCTTCAGAACTTAATTAGAAATAAAAAGTTCCTACATTTAACAGGAAAAATTGTTTTGATGTTGTTTCATAATGAAGTAAGTTTGTTCTAGTATAAAAACTATGTCATAGACAAGCTTTGGACATGTTTTGATCCTTTTAACATATCACAGGAAGAAAGCTATTTAAACAGACACTACATGCATATTCAGGCAAATACTTTTAACAGGCATTATGACAGAGAAAAAGGACCAATGGAAACTTGTAGAGTGCTAAAATCCTGTTTTTCTAAGTATATACAAGCACACTTCTCAAACAAAAGTAAATAGAATAGTACAGCAAATCTTTCAGCTCTAATTAGTACACAATGACAAAGCTCAATATTAAGATGATAGCGTGGCTAGTGTGGCTCTGAAATGAGGAATTCTCCCCAATGTCTGTGTAACATCTACAAAGGGGCAATTAAGGCATATGGTGGAATATTCTCCATTTGCTTGAGTGGGTGCAGCTTCAACAACAAAAGTTTAACATTACCCAGATGGCCCACTCAACTTCATCACCTTCAACATGCACTGCCCCCACCGATGATGCACACTGGCAACAGTCCACAGCCATTCACAATATGTAAAGTTAGACTCATCACTGCTCCATCAATAGAACCTTCCAAACCCACAATCTTTACCAAGGAGCTGATATATGGGAGCTCCAGCACCAGCACCTGCCCCTTCCCCTGCCCCTCCAAGTCACACACCATTCTGACTTGGAAATACATTGTTATTCCTGCACTGGCACTGGGTTAAAAATCCAGAAATTCCCTTCCTTATAGCACTGTGGTGAACCCTACAGCCCAAGGACCACAATAATTCAGGAAGGCATCTCACCACTACCTTCAGGGGCAATTAGGGATGGGAAGTAAATGTGGCCTATCTGGTCCACGGACAAATACAAGCAAATTTGATTATTTTTCACATTTTCATGAGCAAAACTGTTCAAATAAACAAAATCACACAGTTGTCATAAAACTGCTGTAACTAATACAATAAGACTAAAATGCAAAGACAAAAAAGTTTATTTCATGAATGTACAAGATCAGAAAATTTTGTAATACAGACTATGCCAAGAATTAGGCACGTAAAAGCATAAGTTCCAAGCTTTCCTAAACTTCACAAATAATCCATTTCTTTTGATTCCATACTACAATAAAGATGTTATTGCCATGATCAACAATTTTTTGTGCACTTTTAAAGAATAGAGAAATGTGTCTTAGCAGGACAGAGACAAGGAAATATGAATGATAAATCTGGCCAACTGAAAGCTTGAGAACAGTTATGAGCATCAGTTGAAACAAATATCTATTATTTTGACAAAAAACAAACTTTTGCAGAACTACAGGAACCATTCTGACATTTTCAAAGTGAGTTGTATTTTGTATCCTGCATTGCATATATTAATGAGAAATCATTTAGATATAGCAACACGGTAGTTACTGACTAAAAATGAGTTGGTGCCTTTTGAATTCTGTTGAATGAGAATAGCCATTTCAAGTTAGAGAAATGGCTTCAAATCACTGAACACAACATTTTTTAAACTGATCAGAAGTCTGAGGGACATTATTGCACAATGCAGGTTAAACTTCTAATCGACAATAAAAATGTTGTATCTCATAAGGTTTTCTAATTCACATCATTTAGAGCTTGATGACCATCAGTTACACAGATACAGATGTAAAAACAATGTACATTTTAAACACAATTATTACAACAAAAATGAACATAAAGCCATGCCTCATTTGTCACTAGACAGCACCAAACACACATTCCAAAAGACTCTCCTTAACAGGAAAGTTTTTCACAACTTATGCTTATTATGCATTTGACTTAAAGGTACTTTACCCAGAGTAGGAAACAAGTAAGGGTCAAAGTCTTTATTTGATAACTGTAGCATCAAAAAACTCACCCTTTAAAATAGACAAACTTGACAATTGAATGTTCATGTGTTATCAAAGCTGTGACTGAAATTCTCACTTGCATTTTTTTTTCAGACAAGAAACTTTGCACATTACAGTATTTTTGCACAAATGAACATCATTTCACTGGAATTGGTACACAAAATAGAAGATTTCATCCTCTTTTTGTAAATTTCCAGATGTAATACATTTAAAAACACACAATTTGGCTGTATAATACTTTTTTTTTTAAACAGAGGTTTGTGGAACAGCAGTTTTGAACTAGAGGTCCTGGATTTAATATCTTAGAAGGTTGAGTGTTTCAATGAAGCCATTAATGTATAAAAATAGCACAGTACTTAGTACTTTGGTTCTATGTAATGAAGCCCTTTGTGGCTATTGTAGGATTTTGGTGAAGGAAATGAGTAGCTGATTATAAACACCACAAATTTGTGGAATTAGAAACAAGGGAAAAAAATGACACTTTATATTGTAAATGTCAGAACTAATTCAAAAGTTAAAACAAACAGATGGCTTAAAGGCATATCAATTAAGTCTGCATCTAAGTCTAATACAGTGAATATACCTTACAATAACAAGTACACAGAAAACGGCTTTTTGTCAAGTTATTATTTATGCATAATTGTGTATCTCACTGGTCATGTTTTTTTTCCTCAAACTGTATCAGTAATCTGTCAATATAGTTCCAGAATAATCCATACCAATTTAGCCTATTCAAGAGAGAAATTAACTTTTCAAACTATTAACATTAGATAGTTAAATTTAACAACAGCTCCAGATGCCAGATTTTAAATGAGGTTTAAAGCAGAGGACCTGGAATATAGGCCAATCGTTCATTAAAGAAAAGCAAAATCAGTAAAATAGTTTATGAAAAATAACATTTCAAAATGCATAATCAATTCTGTAATTCTCAATATTTTATAATGATTCATAGTTTTTATTTCATCAAAATAATGCCCCAAAATGAAATTATTCTATGAACGATCAAGATAAACTGGCCGGAAGTTAACAGCTTGTGGTCTACGTGCAATTATTTTCTACAACTGAAAACTACAATGTGCGTGCTATATTGACAACTCTGACATATGTAATGGGACTTAATTGCAACATTCAACTCTTACACAGAAAATTTAAACAGAATGTGGATTCAGGAGATATTGTTAAATTAACGATTGTTCACATACACTGCACATAAAAAAGAAATAAATTTTACTTTACAGTACTGAACTCAGCTGATCAGATCACCAAAGCTCATTATGAAACATAGTATACTTTTCCCATGCATTAAAACAGGTAAAAATGTTCAACAATTGGCGATCAAGTAGCAAATAAGGACTTTGCAAGTTAACATTCACCTTTCACTTGTTTACAGATTTAAAAGTTACACAAATACAGAAGAAAGTTATATTATTGTTACATTAGATGTGGTTTTTATTTCCTCATGTGAATTGCTTTTTAATAACTCTTTGATGAATTGCTCAAGAGCAGCAAAGTAGCCTTGGCACTGCCAAGTGTCATTGTGAGTTCCATCTGGAAATATGACTAATCTTTTAGTCCGTGATGTAGACAGTTCACACAGTTGCTTCATCATAACTGGTGGAATTAACTGGTCTGACAATCCAGAAATTAAAAGAGAAGGCATTCTGCACTGTGCAATCTTGTTACAGGACAGAAATTTGTTCTTGTAGCACCAGAGTGGTAGATATCTCATGGGAAAGAAGGAGAACAAAGTGCTGGCCATATGTGGGATGCTGAGGAATGTGTTCTCAACAACTATTGCAAAAATACGATGTGGGTTCTCTGAGGCCAGATGAATAGCCACTGCTCCACCCAAGGAGCGACCAAATAAAATTATTTTTGTTTTATCAAGATCTGGTCTAGTCATGACATAGTCTAATACAGCCTCTGAATCCAAGTAAAGGCCGTTTTCACTCGGTTCCCCTTCACTCCTTCCATATCCTCTATAATCTACAAGTAATACATTAACTTTCAGATTAACCATCATCAACAGGGCATTTTGGATCCTATGACCAATATTACCTGCATTTCCATGGAAATAAATTATGGTTGGTGAATATGATGCATTATCTCCAGTGTATCTCAAGAGAATCAAATTGAGTCGGACTCCATCCTTGGTTTTAACAAAGAGGTTCTCATGTGGGATCCCAGTAGGTATGGGAATATACAAACGTGAGGAGGGTGGTTGCTCTGGGAAGTAGAGGAGTACATCTTGGAACTTGTATAAAATACCTGCTACTGATGCAAATATCAAAAGAAGCAAGAGGATCCCTCCGTATAGATGAAAGGTTAAAATTAAAGCTAATAGAGAAATCCGGCATAAACTCCAGGACCATGAGACCAAAGCAATCAGCCACCTCCTGGCATATGTCCATGACTTCCATGTTTTTTCCATTGTGGTTGCTCTCCGAGGCACTAGCCTTCTACGTAGATTGGTTCTGTATTTTAAACAAAAGACAGACGAATCAGACAATTCACGCAATTATCCTTTCAATTATTCAGAACATGATATAATGAAATTATAGCTGGTAAAATTTGATTATACTACTCAAAAGGGCAGAGGATATTACAAAATGAAGCAAAATACTTGTTTAATAACTGAAGCACCAAGCTCCTTATTTACAGGCATACATCATGAATCTTTGAATCTATTTCAAAAGAATCCTGCTGTTACATTGACTTTATTATTTAGATTATCAGTTTGAAATGAAGCACAAGCACATTTTAAATCAGAAAAATAAAGGAAAACTCAAGGATTAGATTATTTGTGCATACGGTATAAGTGAAAACTTAATGGTATATAACTTGACTGAACAACGTTTTAAAAATTAAAAAAAGTACACATCAGATAAATGATATAATATCAGAAGGTATCACTGTCTCGGATGTTACAACTTCAAAGGGCTAAATTTAGCAAGCAGACTTGAGACAAGCAACTCCATATCGCTACATCAGTGCACAAATATTTAAAAACTAAATGCATTGTTTTGACAACTTAATGACAGGAAAAGTTTAAATTAGATCCAATGAAGAGCAGAGTAGGAAGAAACAGTGTGCAGTCTGTAGATGCATTATGTCCCATATAGCAACTTACTCCCATTACTATCCATGTTTAAACTTTTGGTATTTGTAAGTCACCCAAATGCATTGGATAGTTATTTCCATTAATTTGAAAGTACCAAATGGCTGGATTTAACAAATCAAAGCGACATGCTGCAGGATTTTCGCACAAATGATGCCACTTAGTCCTTTCCAAAACTCAAACATTCAAAACATTCAAAAGCAGCAAATTCGGCAGGGTTCAAGAGAGTCAGTTGCACATGGTCTCCAAATCCATAACATGGATATCCCAGCAATAAAAGTTGTATGCTTTTGCTTAACTGTATGTTTTCCTCAAATGTGCCAGTAATGGTGGTATCTCCGACAAGAGTACGAACTTTCTTCAAACACAGAAGGTAACAACACAACCACAATTTTTTTAAAAATGAATTCTTCAAATCAAAAAATGAACCTGTTAGACACGCAATTTTCTGTCATTTTAGTTAGGAAATTGAAGTAACATTCCAAAATGAGAAACCATCTTTCCAAAATTGGCAAAAATCTTGTAATTTCCATTCTTGTATGGAATACATAAATGACACTGATTTTACATTGAACTGCAACCTTTGAACACTATAGCATTATTTACCATATTTGCTTGGTAAGAACTAAAGCTGCGAAGTTACTACTGAGGAACAGGAAAGAGGGGACAGCAATATCAATACTTGCAACAATTGTTGGATTTTGACAGGCAGAGCATGAGAGTGAGCAAAAATCACTGAGCAAGGTAGCAGTGAAACCAGTGCTTGAACTGAAAAGTCTAGAATTTTCAGGTCCTTGACGAAAATTTGGAGGACTGTTCAGACAAAAATCAAAATGGAAGGATACCCATTATCTTCTGCACCTCACAATAAATTAAAATGAATTTGACAGTTGTAGCATGTCTTTTTGTTCATCCCAGCAGGGGATATGGGAGGTTGGCAGGAGGAATTAAAAGTAAAACTGGTAAATTAGTAGCACTTGCTGTATAGATGCAGGTTGTTTTTTGTTTAAAATTGTAACATCTTGCAATACAATTCATTTATATTGATCCTTGAAGGTTAGAATTTCTTTTTGAAGCATTAAAAGGTCTCTGCTGTGGGTTACAGAAAATAGCTTACAACCATTTCCGATGAGGACTTCACACTAATTTGCCAAATTCAATTTCAAGCTACCTTAATGATTTATCCTATCAGCCAGCCTCAAATAATAAGTAAAGGTCCAATTTCATTAGCAAGCTAAGAAGATTGATAGGCATAATTGATACTACCAAAGGTCTTACACATAATCTGGCACAATAAACTCCAAAACAAGTCACTGATAGATGGATACCCATAAACATTCTATCATTGTTATTTACTGCTCCTTAAACTGCACTGCCTCTATGGCAGGAACACACAGGACTGCAAAGGATGATTACAGTCCATCTTGCTTTTGTCAAAATTCAAGAAATAGCATACATTATTCTTTAGCTCATCACCACCTTCTCAAGGGCAACTAGGGACATGTAAAAATGCTGCTGGTCAGCAAGTGATGCCCACATCCCATGGAGCATCTAAAAAATAAGTCTCTGGAATTTCCTCTGCAGTGTCATCTCTACACAGCTCCAGAACAGTCTATTGATCATATCATATTGTAACAAAGTGTAGTGCCCTACAATCATTGTGTTTGCTTGTCATGACAAAATAGTAACATCACTGGACAATAACCCAGATGTATGCTCTGGGGACATGAGCATGAATTCAACTAACTAATCTGGAATGAGAAAACAGGCTGTTCGAAATGGTGACCTGCGATCACTAATGTCCCTGAGGGAAGGAAATCTGCCATCCCCATCAATTCTGACCTACATACAATTCAGACCCCCAGAAATGAAGATGACTGTTAAAATGCTTTTGGAAATGGCCTAAAAAGCCACTCAGTCATAACAAACCACTACAAAATCCAAGCAAAGGAACACATTGGGATAGTCCTCCACTATTGATTGAGGCAATGGAAATAACATGGCAAAGCCATCTCCGCAAAGTCCTCCTTACTAACATCTGTGCGGCCTTGTGCTAAAACTGTGAAAACTGTCCTACTGACTACTGTCGCTTTCCTATCTGTAAGGTAAGATTCTGAGAGTGAGACTGTCCCAGATACCATCACCATTTGAGTATGCCCTGACATACCAGCAAGATAGGTCCACAAGAGGTAGTGACATAGTGGTACACAGTCAGGAAGGACTTGCCCTGGAAATGCTCAATGATGGCTCTGGATCTCAGGAACTGGCATGGCAACAGGCCAAATATGGCCAAGAAAACCTTTGTTGATAACTATTTGCTGCTATCCATTTAGATAATGAATCAGTACTCCTCTATCATGGTTAGCAATTAGAAGAAACACACGGTGGAGAGGGCACAGAATGTGCTCAGGTACTTCAAAGTTCATCAAGAATGACTTGGTAGCACCACTATTGACCAAGCCAACCAAGACCTAAATGATACAGCTGCTAGACCAATCTGTGACAGCAGGAGAAGGAGCCAGTAGAAACCTACTTCATCTTATTCTTACCAATTCTATTTGTTGCAGAGGCAGCTGTTCACCACAGTATTGGTAGCACTAATGACTGTACAGCTTTTGTGCAGACCAAAGTCTTATTAACTCACTGAAGGAATCCTAAGAGTCCTGTGAAACTACCACTTTAGCAAATCAAAACTGGATATGTATGAGGCTTTATGGTCTATCAGAGAAACAGAATTGCATTTAACCACACCCTACAAGCTATGGCCCAGCATATCCCTCACTTGCTATTACCATCACCAGGGGCCAACCCTGATTCGATGAAAAGTACAGGATAGCATGCCAGAAGCAAGACTAGGCACCCACAAATGAGGTATCAAGCTGGTGAAAATTCATACTGCAAGCTGCTTCTACTCTTTACCATGCAAGTTGACAAACCAAAGCAAAACCACAGGGGACTTACCCAAGCTCTACAGGCCTGTCACATCCAGTTGTGATTTAGAGGTAGACAGTGAAACAACTAACTGGAAGAGATGGCTCCACAAGCTTCCCCAACCTGAATGAAACCTACACATCAGTACAAGAGACAAGGCTGAAGCATTTGCAACCATTTTCAAAAACCAGTAGTAATGAGTGAATGATCAGTCTTGGCTTCCTTCTGCAGTCCCCAGCATCAATCGATTCGATTTACTCCTACTGATAAACAAAATGCCGAAGGCACTGCATATCGTAAAGACAGAGTTGAGTAATGAGATGGCTGCCCTTGACATCAAGGAGTATTTGTAGAGCTGGAGTCAATAGGAGCTGGGGGAAGTTTTTTGCTGGTTAGGGGCATACCTAGCACAAAAAAAATGGCTGTGGTTGTTGGAAGTCAATCTTATCCTAGGATATCACTGCAGGAGTTCATCACATTGATGCTCCTTACTCAATCATCTTCAGTTGCTTCACCAATAAGTTTCCTTCCATCCTAAGCAGGGATGTTTGTTTCCAATTGCACACTTTTTAGTACTATTTACAACTTTTCAGACACTGAAAAAGCCAGTGTCCATATTCAGCAAAATATCCAAGCTTGTGCTGATAAGTGGCAAGTAAAATTCATACAAGAGCAGGGTCCAACAAGAGAAAATTCAACTATTTGCCCTTGATATTCAATGACATTACCATCACTGCTTCATTCACAAACAACATCTTGGGGTCACCACTGAGCAGAAATTGATCTGGACAAGGGGTCAGAGGCTAGCAATTCTGTGGTGAGTAATTCACCTCGACTCCTCAATGTCTGCTCACCATCTATAAGGCACAAGTCAAGAATGTAACGGAATACTCTCCACTTGCCTGGATGGGTGAAGATCCAGCGACACTCAAGAAGCTTGACACCATCTATCACATTCAAAATTTGATTGCTTTACCACTGAAGCAATGGCAAAGTGTACCATCCACAAGATGCAATTGACCAAGCCTCCAACAACAGCACCTTCTAAACCTGTGACCTCTACCACCTAGAAGGCAAAGGACAGCAGATTCATGGGTATACCACCACCTGAAAGTTCTATGCCAAAGCGCACACTATCCTGACATTGGTATTGGGTCAAACTCCATTCCCTGCCTTTCATGTGTCTGGCTAAATGCCTTTTAAATGTTTCTATCATCTGCTTCCACCACCTCGCCTGGCAGCACATTCCAGGCACCTACCACCCTCTGTTTAAAAGAAATACCTGCCTCGCACATCTCCTTTAAACTTTCTCCCTCTCACCATAAACCTATGCTCCTAATGTGTGACATTTCCACCCTGGGAAAGAAACCATTATTAGTTGTCATAAAAACCCATTTACGACACAAATGTCCTTTATGGAAAGTA